GTGGCTGGCGCCTTAGCCGGTTGAGCTATAGGTGCCGAGCCAACTGCAGTATATTTACAGGCTCAGAGGTTAGATTGCAGATATCTTTGGAGGAGTCATTAACCTACACTTTTGATTTTATCTTATAAACCTATGAATTAGAAAATTCTATAATATACTATTGTTATTAATAGTGTGAAATGTGAAGCTGTTGGATTATGTGGGAACTGGGTATTTTAGATTACTTTAGCCTCAATGTGTGAGGTAGATTTGGGAGAAGCTTTGGAGTTAATGTAGGTACCATTAATTCATAGCAAGACACACCTGATTGTAGAAGTCAGCACTGACCAAATCATAGGATTTTAGAACTGGAAAAGGAACTACATTGCTCACTAACCCCCTTAAATTATAGGACCTAAGGGACACAGAAAAGTTTGAATCACTTGCTCAGTTTATAATGAGTCAGGAGAAATGAGACTTTATCTTTTAAGCTTTTCTTCTAATGGTGTCTATATAATAGACACCATATTTTTTAAAAAATCAATATTTTAAAAAATTAATGTATATACAGTTGTATACTTTTTCATTTTATTAATCAAAATTCAGGTTTAACCTTGTTTTCAAAAATCATAATTATTAAAACGTTTTACATGATTCCCAAGACATTACATTTATTAGCTTCTGAGTTATACTTAATGGCATGCATAGATAAACAGGTAACTAATTTCTTTCTTTTTTTTTTTTTTCTTTTTGAGACAGAGTCTCAAGCTGTCATCCTGGATAGAGTGCTGAGGCATCACAGCAACCTCAAACTCTTGGACTTATGCAGTTCTCTTGCCTAAGCCTCCCAAGTAGCAGGGACTACAGGCGTCTGCCACAATGCCTGGCTATTTTTTTGTTGTTGCAATTGTCATTGTTGTTTTAGCTGGACCAGCCTGGGTTCGAACCCGCCAGCTTTGGTGTACGTGGCTGGCACCCTACTCACTGAGCTATGGGAGGTGCCTAATTTCTTAATTATATTACATGGGTTGAACATTTATTAGACTTGAAATATAGAGAAAAATTTTAGGTCACAATTGTTGATCTTCAAGGAAATGTAAACTATATGATAGAATACATGAATACTTTTTAGAGATATTGTCTTGACTACACACATTGTAATAGACTACCAAAATTCTCAACCTATAGAAAAAAATGAATGCCTCAAAATCAGCACATGCTACTTTTGCACACAGTTTTGAAAACCTAGAATATCTAACATTTGGACAAATTACAAAAAAAGAAAGCATAATTATGTTTTAGTAGTACATTAGGCAAAAATCTATGAATTCAAATAAGAACCTAAAGATGAAAGGGGCTAATTAGATAGTATCTATTTAGATAGAAGTGGATGTCATGAAATGAATGATATTGTCCTAGTTCATTCTTTTCGTATTAGTTTGAGAGTCTTTGAATATTTTTTTCTTTTTTTTTGTAGTTTTTGGCTGGGCCTGGGTTTGAACCGCCACCTCAGGCATATGGGGCCAGCGTACTACTCCTTTGAGCCACAGGCCCTGCCCAAGCCTTTGAATATTTTTATCAGTATATGGTACAAGCTCTTAAGTTCATTTGTACCCATCTACCTGAAATTAGCTACCATTTAGAATTAATGTGAAGAGAATGGGTCTATGAAAACAGTCACTTGTGTTTTATAGGAAGAGCATAGGAACTTAGGGATCTGGCTTCTAGTGATGAGTGATTGGAATTGACCACATGCTAATATTAACAAAATCCTTGTTTTCTACAATGTGAGGATGTAAGATGAGATTTTTAATTTTCATGTAACTAAAATTAGTATTGGAGAGGGGTGCCTATGCTCAGTGGGTAGGGTGCTGGCCCCATGTACTGAGGGTGGCAGGTTTGAACCTGGCCCCAGCCAAAATGCAACAAAAAAATAGCTGGGCATTGTGGCGGGTGCCTGTAGTCCCAGCTACTCGGGAGGCTGAGACAAGAGAATTGCCTAAACCCAGGAGCTGGAGGTTGCTGTGAACTGTAACTGCATGGCACTCTACTGAGGGCAACAAAGTGAGACTCTGTCTTTTAAAAAAAAAAAAAAAAATTAGTAGTAGGGAGAAATGATGATTGCAAATGGATTGTTATAATTATCAGTTCTTACTTACCACCTTTATTCTGGAAGGAGATTCAATTCAAAGAATGTGTATGTTTTTAGAACTCAGAAGTACTAACTGTTGAAATTAATTGGTATGGCACAGCACCTGTGGCTCAAGTGGCTAAGGCGCCAGCCACATACACCTAAGGTGGCGGGTTCAAAACCAGCTCGGGCCCGCCAAACAACAGTGACGGCTGCAACCAAAAAATAGCCAGGCTGTAACCAAAAAATAGCCAGGCGTTGTGGCAGGCACCTATAGTCCCAGCTACTTGGGAGTCTGAGGCAGGAGACTCACTTGAGCCCAGGAGTTGGAGGTTGCTATGAGCTGTGATGCCAGGGCACTCTACCCATGGGGACAGCTTAAGGCTCTGTCTCAAAAAAAAGAAAGAAAAGAAAAGAAATTAATCAGTATACAGTAGAAATTCTTTGAATTAATTTTAACAATCTGAGGTAATGTATCTCATTCCTTAAGTCAGTATGGCATTATCTGTGTAAGGTAACTAAAGCAGTGGGAAAGGTTTATAAAACAGAATATACTTGTTGCTCTAATTTTCTAAGAATTTTGTACGCATGTGTGGGTGTTTCTTGGTTGTGGTAGATCAGTTATTTCAGTATTTGTGGTTCTTAAAAGAATTGTAGATTATGCTAGACTGGTGGGGTAATGCTGATGTTTTTTGAGGAGGAAA